AGAGGTAAGTATTGCAGGAGACTGACAGATAACAAAGACAGAAAACACAGAGTGGGCCTGGGTGTGGCAGCCAGTGTCCATCTACCGCTGGAGATAGTGGAAAGGCATGACTTTTCTGAAAGGAAATGTGCAGCATGTTTTTAAAATGCAGACACAGTGGGATCCACAAATTACACTTCTAGGAATTTATCTTAAAGAAGCAACTGGACAAGTTGCAAGCAACAACACAACCACGTGTGTCTCAGCCTTGGTTACAATGTGGAAAGGAGAAGAACACACATATCCAGTAGTCGGGAATTGGTTAAATAAATCATGTTAAATAATATAACAATGCAATAAAATTATATATTATGAGAAACATGAAGCGTTTTGATGTGGAAAGATATTCATAATATACTCAGAGAAAAAAGCCATTATGAAACTGCATATTTCATTGCATAGTACATACCATCAATAAGCTACACATTATATTATGTACCACTACGGGAAGAAAAGGTTTGTACCTACGTAAAAGGGAGGCTATAAGGAAAAAATTAGTTAAGGTGCTCGTAAAACTCCTTCACCCTCCTTCAGAGTGCAACACTTTTGAATGAGGTTTGGGTTTAGCAGTGTTGCTGTTCATGCTTTTCCATATGGTACGGTCTCTGTATCAGCAAGAGCCTTGGTGATGTGCCCAGTGTTTTCTTCTGAGATTGATTCCCATTTTCCAAGTTCTGATGTGTAGCTGAGAGGATGACAACTATGCCCCTTCATATTATAAGGGCAACAGCAATTGTAAACTCGGTCCCACTTTCAGTGGTGTGGAAATGTGAAAATAATACATGAATTTCAGAATCATTCAATGTTCACAGTGAATATAGTATAGCCATTCCTGTGTGATAAATTTGGACAGCCTTTGTCTTGTCCTCAGTTACTGGGAGGAAGCCTCTAAATCCTTGGAATTTCCCCAGTGATACGATTGTCTTTGTTACTTATGGTGGGACCTGATAGTTTGTGCTCATGAGGTGATCTGGGGGCCCCTAGATAGTTTAAGTTAAGGAGATGGCTCAGGCTGCGGCTGGCCATGCCAGAAAGGCCAACCATGAGTGAAGGTTGGGGCTTTGAGTCACATGGTGTCAGCCCAACCTACAGAGAGGGATGGTGGCTGGAGACCGAGTTCAACCTTGTGGCCAGTGATTCAGTCATGCTTACTTAATAAACCCAAGAAACAAAAACTGTTTCAAAAATGTAGACTTAAAATGAAGCAATGTCTGTCCATCTGTGTGTCCGTCCTCAGTAGGAATTAGGTCACTACAGCACATGGGGGGTGCGTTAGTCTGTTTTGCATGGTCGTAACCGAATACCTGAGACTGGGTAATTTATAATAAAAGAGGCTTATTTGGCTCACGGTTCTGCAGACTGTACAAGCATGGCTCTGGCCTCTGCTTCTGGGGAGGCATCAGGAAGCTTTACCTCCTAGCGGAAGGCAGAGGGAGACTAGGCATGTCACGTGGCGAGAGAGAGCAAGACAGAGATGCCAGCCTCTTTAAAAATATCAGATCTCCAGGTAACTGATAGAGTGAGACCTCACTCATTACCTCGGGGATGGCACCAAGCCGTTCACTAAGGATCCTCCCGTGACACAGACACCTCTCACCAGGCCCCACCTCCAACCCCAGGGACCACATTTCCACATGAGATTTGGAGGTGACAGGTATCCAAACTGCATCAGGTGGAAACTTCGCTTTTTGGTTAAAGACAAGATTGTTCCTGAATAAAATTCATCCCAAATCATTAAAACTACTCACTCTGAACAGTATTATTTTTTAAATTTCTAATTTAAAAAAACCTGCCCAAAGAACAAGTCGAACTGTGTTCTGAGGTCGTTCAGTCACAGGCCTTAATCCTGACCGCTGCAGGGCGTCCCTTTCAGGAGAGAGAACAGGAGATTTCTCATGCCTGTGGCTGCCGCGGGGGTGGGAGGGTGGAACACAGCTCTGAGCCACCAACAGGAAGCATCATGATGGCCTTGCACACACGCCCTCGGACCATCTCCTGCCACCGATCCCACTTCACCTGCTGTGTCTAACCCGCCATGGGTGGGAAACGGAATAGCCACACTTGTAACTAAAACAAGGGTGAGCAGGCCCCGTGTGAGGTCCTGAGGGGCCCTCCCGTAGTGGGATTCCTTAGGACATTTGTGCCTGTGGTCTCCGTTTTGCCTCCTCAGCAATCTGGACTGCATTCTCAGTAACACTCCCAAGTGTTGAAGCAGCCTTGAGACAGCTTTCACACAGCTGGGTCAGTGTGTGCATTCGGCAGAGGTGCCTGCAACCTGGAATAGGCCTTTCTGCACCATGCACCATGTAGGATTACATACACACGCAGACACACACACACACACACACACACACACACACACACACACACACTCCCCACCTCTCTGAACAGTAGCTAAACCTGTTAACCTGTTCCATTCAAAAAACAACATTAGGTTCATTGAAGTTTGTAAAATACAGAGTAGGGCTGAAGTGGTTGTTGGTTGCTTTCACCATTAAAGCAAAAATCAATGAATCACCTGTACTGTCCCCATAAAAGGAAGCCTTTAGTTTTCTAGGACTGTGTAAGGCCAAGGTCCTGCAAGCTTGAAATGCCCTGTGTGTTGCCAGCAGCTACTCCTTCAAGGCTGGCAAATATCTGTGAATGCAATACCTGTGCTCTGGCTCTGTTGGGAGCAGGTTAAAAGGTCACAGGCTTTCAGTGCCTCTGGTTGCCACTGTGACCTCACCAGTCCTCATCAAAAGCTAAAGGTTCTTTTCCTTCCTTCTTCATCCGGACTGGTTCCAGTAGGGCCTATTTAACCAAAGGTTAGCACAGATCAGTGATACTATGTAATTTTCCAAGATTGAGACTTTAAGAGATGTGCAGCGTCCTACTTCTGCCTTTTTGAAAGGCTCCTTTCTAGGAAACCAGCGGGACCATGCTGTTGGAGGAAGGCCCAAGAACCCCAGCACCACGGCTGTGAGAAGCCAAGAACCCAGCCGCCATGCTGTGAGGGAAGACCCAAGGAACCCAGTCGCACGCTGTGAGGAAGCCCAAGAACCCAGCCGCCATTGCTGTGATGAAGCCCAAAGAAGCCACAGGGGAAAAGCCATCTGTCAGAAAACTTTAAAACCACCAGGCTGCAGTTTCCAGCTGGACGGCTTTTCCCAGCCCCG